AAATTATGAAAATATATATATATATATATATATATATATTAACTCGGATCAACCCGTGTTGACCTTCCCGATCAGTGACCTCGGTCTTGCCTTAGTTAACCCGTGAATCGAGTTTTTAAAACTAAGTTAATAACAACTTTTATTCTTACACTAACTTAGATCAACCCAAGTTGACCCTTCTGATCCGTGATTGGGGAGGCCTTACCCCGACTTGACCCTTAAATAAATTTTTAAAATTATGATAATAATTATTTTTATTTTATATTAACCCCGGTCAACTCAGGTTGATCCTCCTAACACGTGACACGGGCCTTATCCCAGGTCAATATTCAAGTCAGATTTTAAGATTATGATTATAATCACTTTTATTTTATGTTAACCTGGATCAACTCAGGTCGATCCTCCTAATATGTGACTCAGGTTTTACCCTAAGTTGACACTTAAGTCAGGTTTTTAAAATATGATAATAACTATTTATGTCCTTATATTGACCCAAGTCAATGGTCAACTCCACTCGTTACTCGGGTCTTGCCCTAGATTAACCCCTGAATCGGGTTTGAAAACTATGATACTAACCTTTTTTATTCTTACATTGACTCGGGTTAACCTAACCTGTGACCTGGACCTTGACTAGTGACCTGAGCTTTGCCTTGGATAGACCCCCGAGTTAAGTTTTAAATCTATTTTAATAATAATTTTTATTCTTATATATTTTACATGAACAATTTTGAAATTAATAGTTTTTTACAAAGATATTTTAGGAATAAAAAATAATAAATATTGTCTTTAGAGACATTTTTTTTTTGTATCTTCTGTTTTGAAAGTACAAAAATTCATTCCAAAATTGTCTAAGAGACAATTTTTTTTTATTGTCTTTATTTCTGTCTCTTCAACAAACACATTTTTTTCTTCCTTTTTGTCTCAAAACAGTAACCAAATGTTACCTAAAAGACATGAGAGATTTATTATGTAAAATTACGTCATGGATCCTCTTATAAAATACTGTGAACTCACTGTTTGCAATTATTATCTTTTTATTCCGATACCTTTTATTTTTAAAATTTAGCTCTTTCTAAACTAAAATGAAGGCCAATTTAAATAACATTATCAAGAAAGGATAAAATGAAAATATAAATGATTAAAATGAAAAGGTATGAGAAAATAAGTAGCGGTTTCAAAGTTTGCAAAAAAGTTAATTTTGGTCTTTTTACTTTTTCAATGATACATTTTTTATCTCTATGAACTTATAAAATTCACTTTTGTTAGAAAACTTTATTTTTTTTTTATTTTTCATTCCCTATATTAAAAAAATAAAGAAAGTCAATGAATTCTAGCTAAAGAGAAAAAAGATCGTGATTGAAAAAGAGATGTCACACCCAACATATTTAGATTCAGCCATAGGTTAAACCAAAATATATTAGGTTTGACATTTCACCAGACTCGTGTTTTATTGGGTTTGATTAATCGCTGAACCTAATTATTTTAAGTTTGACATGTCGTGAGACTCACCTTATTATAGACTCAAGTTTTAAAAAGATACGTTAAAACAATTATCTTGTCAATTGTCCTCCCAAGCCTTTAATATGTAACACATATAAAGGCTTAAGAGGCATTTTGAGAGGCTATCAATCAATATACCTTTTGTTCTCTTTTGAGAAGAGGCATCTAAGCTTGTGTTGATTTGAAAGGATTGTCTAGGGAAGAGAAAGTAAACATTTTAGACGAACCACATTATGACGCAAAATGAATATTTTTCAGCATTTAGCCTTTCTAGAGTTATGATAAGATGCCATTTATCCTTCATATATTGCTGAAAAAGGAGGGTGAGTTGTATATTAAAACCCTATTTCACTTCGAATAGTATTTTTTTTACTTTTGCTAATTTTTTTCTCTATTTCCTTACTTAAAAGGTTCAAGACATAAGAACAAGATTGTTTTCTCATATAATGACTTTCCTTGTTTAGTTAAATCAAATCTCCTTCCTTTTCTTTTATTGTAAGCTTATCGTTTCAGTTTTTTTTTTTTCCTTTAAGAAATTCAAAATGACCTCTAGAAAAGGGGAGGAAGTAGTATACCTTAAGGGAAATTTTACCTTTAGGTTATAAATTGGTTGCACTCATCAGAGATCATCAACCATTAGGATTGTCTCACGATCTAGAATCAAAACTTCCGTATCTTTTCCATCTAAAATGAGGAAAGACAAAAATCCGCAAGAGGTTTCAAGCCTCAAAAGGAAAGAATGCATGCCCAAAACTATTATTGATAATGTTGAAAGCATGATAACTCCAACCTAAGTGGATGCGGCCAATATCCATCGTTGAACCAGGAGATTATGCAGTCTCATTATCAAGACCTGATAACTGTGTTTTAGAGGTCACTAATAAACACAGTAAAGGCAAATTTATAATTACAACTATCATTTGCATATACGAGTTGAGTACTCATTTCCTCTACAAGATTTTGTAATGGAAGTGTTTAGATATTACAATCCGAGTCCAACTCAATTATACCCTAATAGGTGGACCATTATATCGACACTCAACAAGTTCCTTAGAATGTTAGATAAGGAATCTACTGTCATAATTTTTAGACAGTGCTATACCTTGATGAGTAGCGTTGAAAGGGTGCCTTTCTTCCCTTGTTTTTTCAATTTTGCTAACAGGCTAAAAGGACCTACGAAGGAGACTTTCAAAAGAAATTCATCCTAATCAAAAAGTTAGAGAGGGAAATGGGTGGTCGTGAGCTACCATGGAACCACGAAGCCACAAGACCGGTAGAGTGCCACTTCAGGTTGTACCTATTATTAGAGAGCACCCTATCAAGTGTAAATGACAAGCCCTTCCTTAACACCAAGGAAGAAGAGGTGTGTGCTGGGCTAGATACGTTATGCATCTAGTTCGAGATCAATTGTATGGCCAAAAGATTTTATAGCACTAAGGGTAAGTTATTGCTTTGACATCTTATTTTGGTTTTAGGTGTATATTCAATTTATATCTTTTTCTTTATGCAGGGAATTTGTTAGAAGAAGTTGGATCTTCAGCTAATGGATCCTCAACTTCTCTACCCAGCCATATTTTCACGTTACCTTGTAGTCATGCTTCTTCTGTCCACACTTATTTCTCTCTTGAAAATAGCCTCTCTAAAGATAATTGACATTTGATACGTGGGCAAAGGGTCAAAAGAATTTCTCTCATGGACATCAAAGAGTCACCCATATATGTCTTTTCTATTAACGAGATTCATACGTATGTCTTTTTGGTTGAAGAGAGAAATGTGTTTATCCCTCCTATTAAAAAGATGTGTAGTGAGATAAAAGGGAGTAATTCGTTCACCTTTTTTAGGAGGTGTTTGTCCTGCCTTTTAGAGGAGGTGTTTGTCCTGCCTTTTAGGGGAACGTTTTGGAATCAACCCCAACTACGATGATCCTAGAGGCAGCCTCACAATGTAAGAGGAGGATGCTATGCTTTTGAATCTTGATGCGGAAGTGATCCCTCCCCATCAAGAACTTATGTTCCTATCACTTCAATCTCTATTCTCATAGAGTTTTCCAGTCAGGAACCTCATCTCACGGGAGTGTAAGACATCTTCTCCAAATTAAGCTTGGGTCGCTCCGTTTTTGCTTTCTCAACTTGAGTGGGGAGGAGAAAAATACAATAAGGTGTTTTTTGTTTTCATGAAAGTTTCACATTGGGGGTTAGGCGTATCATCATAAACACCTTATTATAGACTCTCTCCGATGCGCTAAAACAATTAACTTTTTATACATACACACATACATACATACATACATACATACATACATACATACATACATACATACATACATACATACATACATACATACATACATACATACATACATACATACATACATACATACATATATATAAAAAAGTTATTAAGTGAAGAAAAACCTTTCCGCTCCTTATTCTGCCTTTCCTTCCTTCCACAGAAGCAGGAACACGGGCACTGAAGAGAAAGAGATACGATAGCACCAAGTACACCCGCAAAAAGTTGCAATCCTTTACTTATGGCTTCTCATCTCTCTTGTACAATACCAAACCTAATCCCTCTTCCTCCCTCCCCTTTTACTGACCGAACCAAAACCCCTAACTCTTTCCTCCTTCACCCAACTCACCTTCCCAAACCACTAATTCGTCGCGGTTCGCTCTGTGTCGCCCGGTTCGGTCTCAAACCGGGTTTCTTTCCTGACCCGGATAAAGCGGAGGCTGTAATCAAGGACTTGTTTGGTCGAGCAGAGAGTATTGTTTACACAATAGCCGATGCCGCTGTCTCCAACTCGGACCAGGTTGTTGATAGTAGTACCACACAGAACAGTGATTGGCTTTCTGGTATTACCTACGGCCTCGAGAGTACTTTAAAGGTTTGTTTGGTTCTGTTTTTTTGTTTTTTTTAAATAAAAGTTATGATTATTTGTTTTTGTTAATTAATTGAAGTAATTATACAGGTTTTGAAAGATGGGTTATCTGCTGTGCATTTACCTTATGCTTATGGTTTTGCTATCATACTCTTGACTGTTCTTGTTAAGGCTGCTACATTTCCTTTGAGTAAGAAACAGGTTTGTGTTCTGTTTCTCTATTGAAGCAAATTTCTCCAGTATGTCTCTGTTTTGCTGTACTTAAATTAGTGTAAGATGTGGTTGTGGTGGGCAGGTGGAATCTGCTATGGCCATGCGATCTTTGCAACCCCAAATTAAGGCCATTCAACAACGCTATGCCGGTGATCAGGTATATCTGAAATCTCTTTTCTCCCATAAAAATAGGGTAGTGTGAACTATTTATTAGAGCTCGTGTTGTGTAGTCATGGAGCTTGTTTCGTTTTGTTGACATAGTTCAATTCTTTTGTTTACCTGCAGGAGAGGATTCAACTTGAGACTGCCCGGTTGTATAAGCTAGCTGGGATAAACCCGCTTGCAGGTACTTATGTTTCGCAGTTTGTTGTAGCTTTAACACTCGTTTCTTATAAAGTAATCGAAGCATTCGGAGACACATGTTGATATAGATACATCTTTTCTCGACTTGTCCTGCTACTTCTTGTTGGAAGTTATGCAACTTTCTATGTAAGGAGATTGGGTCTTGCAGTGCAATAAGTTTGTTTCAATACTTTCTTTTCTTTTTTTTCTATTATTGAGATTCTAGCATGCACTTGCCTAAATTCTTTAAAGGGATCTGTAAGGTCCATAAAGATGTACTTAAAACCAACTGGAGAAAGAGACCTGCGCAAATTTTCTTGGGTTAGATTAATACCTTTATGTTGCTCTTTCTAGAATTTATATCTTGAATAGAGCTATAGAAGTTGCTCGTAAGATTTTCATTTTGGAAAGATTGCTGTTTCTCTACTTTGGAGTACGATTTAAGATTTACTTTGCTCTTCTTAATTAAAAGTCTTTTCAATATCTTTTTCCCACTTCGTGCCAGGATGTCTCCCTACACTTGCTACAATTCCAGTATGGATTGGACTCTACAGAGCCCTTTCAAATGTAGCGAACGAGGTAACATTCTTTTCATGTTCTTTTTCTTGCTTCATCAAAATTGTTACTTGCTTTGGCTTTTAGTTTTTATGGATTTAACTCTGTCTCTTCTCTAAATTAATTTATGTGTCCAATAACTAGGGGCTCCTCACAGAAGGCTTCTTTTGGATACCCTCTCTAGCTGGTCCAACTACAATTGCTTCTCGTCAAAATGGCAGTGGAATCTCTTGGCTTTTCCCTTTTGTAGTGAGTGCTTGATTCAGCTTTCTAGTGTTATCGGTTAGGATGGGTTTCTGCTTGAACTTTGTATACATCATACTCTTCACAAGACCTGGAAGCTTTTTTCTGGAATCATGTTACTTTCTGAGAGATAGAATAAGCTGAACAATCTTTTGTCATAACTTGAAAGGATTTCAATTATTTTTTATGTTATTTTTCTGCTCCTTTCTAGTTTGGATGTTTTTTCTTTTTATTATTAGAATTTGACTTTTTGTCAAGTTAGTAGGTTTTTGTTGCACAAGATTTTTGGTCACTATCCTCCATGTTTGTTGATCTTACTTGTTTATTGCTTGATTGTTTCTCAGGATGGACAACCACCCCTTGGATGGTCAGATACCGTGGCATATCTTATTTTGCCTGTCGCACTGGTTGTCTCACAATACATCTCTGTCCAAATCATGCAATCATCACAGGTTAGTTTTTCCCAGCTTTAGATTTGCTTATGTCTGCCTAATCTTAATCAGCTTACATGATTGTTATTAACTAATTCAAAACATTTTTTTTCCTTCTACTGTGCTCTATGAGAGGCTTGCCTAGCAATAAAGCAATGGCTACCCTTTTTGGCCTTTTTAGCAACTGAAAACTACCCTTTTTTGTCTTTTTAGCAACTGAAAACTCGATAGCATAGAGCATGTTGAGTCAGCCTATACTCCTGCCATCATTAGCTGCATGACTGAATTATTTCTCTTGTCCATTTCTTGTGCGATCCTAAATTCATGCTATGATAGATTTTTAAGTGAAGCATGAAAGAAATTAATAAAAACTCCCACTCAGGAATGTATAATAATGGCATGTAGTGGTACAGTCAATTTTATTGTGTGAGGGGAGACAGGATAATAAGAACTTATCTGGCCAATAAGCTTGTAATGCTGATTGCTTCTTTTTTTTTTGGATTATTTTGAGGACATTAATACATGTACCAGCCTTATTAGCTAAAACCTAAGGCTGCTGGGAGAGAATGTCAGCCTCATGTGCTGAAGCCTAAGGGCTGCATTATGTGTTTCGAGGAAGCACTAAAAATTCTGTTTGAATGCTTTCATATTTGGTCACTCTTTCAATTTGACTTTAAATGACAATGGAAGTTTTAACATGCATTGCTAGTTTCAGAGCGATGATCCAAACGTGAAGAATTCTCAAGCAATAACAAAGTTCCTTCCATTAATGATTGGTTACTTTTCTCTTTCTGTTCCTTCTGGACTAAGCCTTTATTGGTGAGCATCCCTACCATTATGCGAACTTAACATTATCTCAATTAGAGTCTCAGAGATATTATGATTGGAAATTGTTTCCCACCACCATTCTTCCTATATTTTCCTGAAATTCTGTTTAATATTTTGCAGGCTCACAAATAACATATTAAGCACAGCACAACAGGTGTGGCTTCAAAAGTCAGGGGATGCAAAAAATCCTATGATGAAGTCCAGTGATGATATTGTCAAAGAAGACCAGCTGCAGATTCAGAAACCCGTCTCTGAATTAAATTCTGTACAAACTAAGACCAGGCAAGAAGAAAAGTTTACACCAGAAGGGTTGCGTCCTGGTGAAAGGTTTGTAATCACAAACCTTTTCTTTCCTACTTCTTCATCCTGTTTTCTGTATTGTGGACTAAATAAACTGTCATTCAGATTCAAACAATTAAAGGAACAAGAGGCAAGGAAAAGGCAACAAAGAGAAGAAGAGAAGAGGAAAGCTGAAGAGGCTGCAGGTAGAGGAAGTCAAATGGAAAACAATGAACTTGAGAATGAAAGCAGTTCATTTGAGAGAGGAAATGGGACCAGCTCAGTTGGTGCTGTTGTAATTGATGACATGTCTGCAGTGGCCGTTCATGATTCCTCTGCTCTTAAGGTTGCAAATGGTGATTTATCTGGTCAGGACCAGAAGCAAGATGAGAAAACAAATTATGTTGTGGAAACAAGTGAAGTTTCTGCTCCTACTGAGGTTTGTGCAAGGGATGAACAACCTGACTATAAACAAAAGGTAGAATGGTAACTACACCTTTTAATGTATAATTGCTGTCTTCAATTCATCATTAACCTTTTAACTACACACTGAATTTATGTCCACATCATATTTCACACATGCCTATTCATTTTGCCATGTTCTTCATCATTTTATTGTTTGGAAACATTGGACAGAAAGCTGCAAGCAAAATTCTCCCCCCTTGATGTCCTTAGGTGCAGTTATGAATGTGGTTAGATTAGTACATGGCATTTTCAAAAGAGTAAATTTTAACTTAGTCACTGTAGTGCGAAAAAACTAATTAATTGGTCCTCATGATGTCAAAACTTATGTATTTGATCCCTATACTTCTAAATCTATTTATAATTTAGTTCCTCTGCCATTTCCATTTCCATATCCTTTTCCAATTCCTTTTTTTTTTTTGTTTCCTTAAAAATAGAGTAAAGAAAAGAGCAGTGAAGATAGGGAGATTTAATTAGGCAAGGAGGCATTTTTTGAACAAAAAATTATTAAATTGAAGATGGTCAACATTGGTCAAAGGACTAGTTAATCATTTCTGATACTGCAGGGACTGATTCATTAATTTCAATAGACTTCAGAGACTAAGTTATGATTTAACTCTTTCTGAAAACTGGGAGTGGTGGTGGGAGTAAATTTCTTGGCTGGCAGGCTTTCCATGTTCTGGCAAAATTATATGTGTATAATTTCGTTTTCCTAGCTAGCTTTCTTCCTTTTTAAACGTACGGAGTAATTATTTTTCCTCATTTGCTCATTGCTTCTGCTTTTCCAAATCTACAATACTCCAGGAAGCAGTTGAAGTAAATGGTAGAGTAGCCACCACGGACGATAAAATCACCAAAGACGCCCATCAAGCCAAAAGGGCGTGATCAAAGAGAGGTTCAGTCATGACGGCATTATCTCAAATTACCGAGATTGACAGGCGCATTCTTTACCTGTTATGATGAATACAGAGAACAGCTTGATACTGTTTCGCTGGAAAAAACCACATCAACCGATAGCCTTCACAGTTCACATGCATGTCGGGGATACAAATCTATTCCGTACTTGGGAAGGTTTCTTGAGGCATATTGGCTGCGCGGTGTTGGTATTGCGGTTGAACAGCAACATCAGCAAGATTCTTGGGCGGGATGAGTAGCTGTGGCAGTTGTAAGTTAAGAGAGCTCAGTATCAGTGATCTGTCTTTTCAGTATTTGAAAGCTCGTACACTTTATATAGGCAACAGAATAGAATTTTTATGAAAAAGAAAAGAAACAACGAATCACATAGCGTGAGTTCCTTTTGCATCCTTTTCTGTAGACTTGTGCAGATGCTATGACTTATCTGACTTTTTATCCCTACAAGTTTCCCTTTTGTTGTATATGATCACTTGCCATGATTGACCTTAAAAAAGTTTAAAATCGTAGCCCATGCAATGTTGACAGTGTACCCTCGTAATGGGAAACCTCGAAGACTGCATGGGCCTTGGTTGACCTGTGTTCAAGATTGGAGAAAAGGCTGGTGCGGCCCAAATAGTGTTCAACAACCCATCATCATTCATGAATGGGCATTTAATCATCTCTGATGTCATGGTTTCATATAAACTTAGGTTGTTCTAGATTTGTAGGTCTGCGACAACATATTTTTTACTGGAAAAAAATGCTCAGGTGATATAGGTGTATTTTAAAAAAGTCTTTTAAAAAATAGGCTCGCTTATAAACTTGATGGATATATACAAAGAAAGAGAAACATGGAAGCCTGGAAAAAAATGGTTAAAAAATCATATAAAAAACAGATAAAAAAATAAAGCCTAATCATTAATGATATTAATGATATAAATATTGAATAATAAAATTAAAAAAGTTTAAAAAAACACTTAATAAAACTCG